CTGGCCTCTGCTGAGCCTCCGATGCTCCTTCTGCCGGTCAGGGTCCCTCGGTAGCCCACAAGCCAATTCCAGAATGGCGTTTGCAGTGAGCGGCTGAGGGCAGACAGTCCTCCTCCGCCCTAACCCCCAGACGCACCCAGCTCCCCTCTCTGGCCTGCTCGTGGGCTCAGACAGAGCTACCACCTGCCATCTGCACAGGAGCAGGGGCCAGGAGCCGCTTGGCAAGACCACCCGAGGTTGTGGAGACCCTACTGCTTAGATGGGGCCCTCCACACGGCAGCATACAGCAGGGCCCTGCTGGTCACCCTCTACCCAGCAGCCCTGCAGCCGGCAGCAGCCGCAGGCCCCCAGGGGTCTCGCCATCTTCCCCTCACCTGTGTCTGGCTCCTTCCCTTCCACACACCTGGGCAGCAGCCCCACTGTCCTTCTCTGGACCAGCCTCGAGTCCCCCCCGGGCTCCCTACCCCTGACTGTCAGAACGTGCTCCTCTGCTCCTCAGCGCCCTGCCTGCCCCCAGGTCCCCTGAGACGGATCCCAGGCAACTCAGGCCCATGGCCCCACTGGGCCTCCATGCCTGACCACCAACAGGCCCCCCCAGGGGCCCTGGGCGCCAGGCCCAACGCTCAGGCCCACCCCAGCACAGGATGGGTGCTCAGTGTCTCCTCGGAGGCTGCTGCCTCCAGACCAGGCTGGAGCCCCATCCCTGCCCGTCGCTGCCCAGCTCTGGGGGTACAGAGGTCTGTCCTTTTTTTTTAGTGACCCACATGCCTCTGCCCATGTTCCCCTAAGATCTCAGCCGCCCAGCACCGTGCCTGACGTTCAGGACAGGTGTCTGCCCGCATCCTTGGCCTCCTGCATCACCATGGCCAGAAGAGCTGTGGCCAGGTGGCCCTTCTCCTGAGGCCGGGCCAGCTCCCAGGTCTCGGGGCAGAGCAACTTCTCTCACGGGCCTGCGGGTAGGAGACCAGGGTCCTGGCCCAGGGCGCCCCGCCTCACTTCCTCCCACAGCAGGTACTGCCTTCTGCAGCCAGGCAGGCCACATCCTGGCTCCCGCAGCCCCGCCGTCCTGGCCCTGGACCTAGGGCCCTACAGACTCATGGGGGAACTGGCCTCCCCAGTGAGGCCGAGTTGCAGAGGGAGACCGAGGGTCACCCACCTTCTTGGTGAGAAGGGCCCGGGAGGAACCCCTGGAGTAAGCGTTGTCCGAGACTCTTACCCTCAGCAGAGCTCCCAGCCCAGGCCATGGCCGCAGACCCTTACCCTGTGCCTTCCTCTGCTAGCAGATCTTCCTGCTCCTCGGAGCCCAGGTCGCTGGGAGCCTCTGCCATGGTCCTCGCGCCTGGCCCCAATCCCTGCGCACTGTGTGCCCTGACTCTGTGTGTCTAGCAGGCGCGCAGCCGCCTGGGCCCCCACCCTGCTAGGTTTCACTTCCTCCTCGATGCAGGTTGAGGTTTGGGACCTATGGCTTGGGTTGGGGGTTGTTTTTTAATCTGTTGCTGCAACAGGAGAGGAAAAGAAAAACCCTAAAACCCAAGCAGCCATCAGGAAGTGTTGAGTAAGCTGCCGTCACCCAGGGTGACCAGAGGGGACGAGGGCCGGGGCGGGGCCCGGCAGCTCCCCGCAACTCAGTGCAGGTGCAGCCGGCTAGGACACCCCGACACCCCAGGGCCCCTGCCAGCAGCCCTGGCCCCCAAGAGCATTTGTGAGCGGCTGCTTCTCCCTCCCTAAAGCACCGCAGAAGCACTTTAGCCTCTGCATGAAGTCTTCCCGAGGCCTGCTCTGCTTGTGCCCGCTGCCTGCCAGGCCTTGGGAGGGCTCTGAGGTAGAGAGGGTAGGAGACAGGCCCAGGAGGCCGGGGGCCTCCATCCACCCGCACACACCTTAAGTGGCAGCAAAGGCCCACGCCAGCCCCAAGCACGGGTCCCCACGCCACCCCCAAGCACGGGTCCCCACGCCACAAGCACTGGGCAGGCTTGACCAGGCGGGGCCCAGGGCTGCCAGGAAAGACCCAGGCCCTGTTGGGGTGGCCGCTTCCTCTCCAGCTGCCCTCCTGTTACATCAGCTGGACGTTTTCATCCTCACTCATGGCCCCCCGAGTCCCCTTGGTGCAGGGCTGAGAGTACATGTGGCACATGAGAGGGCCCAGTGGCACTCTGTGTGTCCCCCTCCTGAACCCACCCTAAGAGGTCCCCGTGGGCTCCCAAACAGCAGCCCCCAGTCACCCCTCCCTCTGGCCAGGCACCTGGTCAGCAGGCTTCTGCCCCAGCCAGTGTCCTGTGGTGAGACTGAAGAGGATGGTCAGGTGGTGGCCCGTGTCCTCCCTCTCCTCGTCACTGCTGGAAGGCTGGACCAGCTTCTGCATCCTCAGGGCCCAGACCCAGGCAGGGCCTCCCCGAGGGAAGAGTCCTGTGGCCTGAATATGTCCCCTACCTGCATGTGTTGGAAGCAGGTCCTCAGGACAGCATGTCAGGGAATTACAGGGACATCTTGAAGGAGCTTTTGTCCTATAGCTCAGCAGTCTCTCTTAGGTTTGTGTCTCACCTGTGATGGCCTCTGCATGCCATGAAGGAGCACCACCTCTTCACCAACATTCAGCACCATGTTCTTGGACCTCCCTGCCTCCAGAGCCCTGAACTCAACAAACCTCAGTGCTTCATGAATTACCCAATCTGAGGCATTTTGTCAGAGCAACAGAAAATGGATGCAGACCCTTAGGACCTGGAGGCCCACTGTGACTTGCCCAGTCCAACCCACTTTTTTTTTTTCTTTTGGTTCAGGAGGTTAAACCCAGGGGTGCTTCACCACTGAACTACATCCCCAGGTCTTGTTCCCGCTGTGGACCGGTGAGGAGTCCTCGCTTCCCCAATGCTGAAGTATAACACCAGAGAAGCAGGCCGAGGCCCGTGGAGAGTGGACAGTGGAAGCTTTATTAAAGGTCAGCAGAAAGGACTTCTCCCCGGAGCAAGAAGGGGACCCAAAAGGCGGAATCCGTGGAAGGGGAGGTATCCCTCTTTTATAGCCAAGGTCTTCTTTCAGCTCTCCCACACTCCTGCCCTGTTTCCCGTCATCTCTCAGTGATAGAAAGCAGGTGGGAAGGCCCAACAGGTGGGGGACAGTGGGCTGGAGGAGTCACCTGGGCAGGAAGGGCCTGGGCGGCTTTTGGATTAGCCCCTCCCTGTTTGCTGGGAGCTGCTTCATTAACAGTTCCAATGGATGGGCTTGGCCTTGGGGACATTAACATTTCAATTTCCCCAAGTTCTGCTCTGCTTTCCTGGACTCCATTCTCGAAAATGGCCTCCATTTTCTTTATCTCACTGGATATTAGACCCTATTTACCTAACTACACTAACTACCTATCTGTAAATCTGGCTTCAATATTAGGGGACAGAGTCTCACAAAGTTGCTTAGAGCCTCGCTAAAGGAGGCTGGCTTTGAACTTGCCATCATCCTGCCTCTACAGCCATGTGCCACCGTGCCCCACTGGACCTACTTTTTAACCCCATCTGAGATGGCAGTTTTTACCCTCCAAGCTTTAGCCAGACCCCAGCCCTTGAAGGAGAAACTTCCTCCCAGGCCTGGGGTGGAGCCTGCCCCCTCCTGTTATGTCTGCTGAAGTCCCGACTCAGGACCTCGAGGTGACCATATTTGGAAATAGGGTGGTTGCAGATGTATCAGAGAAGGTGAGGTCACCAGGGCAGGCCCTGCTCGGGCATGACTGGTGTCCTTGTGAAAAGGGGAAATCTGGTCTCAGACACCCACAGGGAGCACGTCCACAGAACAAGGAACCAAGGGTCGCGAGGAGCAGAGACAGCCCTCGCAGCTGGGAGGGACGGGCTGGCCCACGCCTGCAGGTCCAGCCTTCACCCGGTCCCACCCGTCTGTGGCGCTGCAGGAACTTTGGAAGCCCCTCTGCTTGTCCAGGGGGGTTGGGACTGCCCTCCCTGTCCTCCACACCTGGCCCCTCACCCCTGCCCACTTCAGGACTGGTCTGCCATGAAGATGCTTGGGGCCATGTGCAGCCACCCCAGCCACAGGCCCCTGGACCCTCGTCACTCTCAGCAGACCACACTGCCCACCTCCTGCTTCTCAGAGGAAGTGGCAGCCAGAGCTCAGTGTCTCCTGTCACCCCACCCAGCCACTCCTTGAATCCTGGAGCAGGCGGGCTCCTGCCGCCGAAGCCCTGCTCTCCCTGGGCTCTCGGTCCAGCCATTGCAGATTCAGGCCCTTCGCTGTGGATCCCACCTGCCTCCGGGACCCGCCCTCTTCTCCAGCGTCCAGGTGCAGGCCTCCCACTGTCCACACTCAGAGCCAGAGCCACCTGCAGACCAGGCTCCTCTCCTCCCTCCCAGCCAGGACCTGGCCGCCGCCCTGTCACCACTCCACCTGGACCAGCGGGTGGACGGGGGAGTGTGTCAGGTGGGACCATCACCCATCGGGCACCCGCGTGAGCTCCTGAGCGGCACACTCCGTGCTGGTGGCGGACTCGGGAACTGGCTCAGGGACAGGCCCTGGGAGCTGAGCATCACCCCAAGATTCAGACACGACTTTGCTTCACTCGGAATCGTTCCCTCCCCAAACCCCGAGGCAGCATGTGGGGGGGCGGGACCTTGCCACTTCCACCCACTCCTCAGCCCTGGTGCAGGGTCCAGCAAGCAGCTCATGGTCAAGGGGACATGCGAGGGGCAGAGGGCAGCCCAGGTGCCGGTGCAGTGGGAGATGAGGTGGTGGGGCAGAGGGACGCGCAGATGGTCTGGGTGGAGTGACACAGAAAGCTACCAGGTGGGACAAGGTGGCCTGGGGCCCGGGAGAGCTGGGTGGAGCCTGAGGGCCCGGGACCATGCTTTGAAGGAGAGGAGCTGGTCGAAGCCAACGTCTGCAGCTGTCCCCATGGCTGAGCAGGGGACAGACAGCAGACCAGTCCTGAAGTGGGCAGGGGTGTGGGGCCAAGTGGGGGCGTGGGGGGGCTCCAAGAGGCGCTGAGGACAAGGAACCGCCCCACCCAGTGGGCAGAGGGATGCGGCAAAGAGACTTCCAGGTCCTGGCTGGGAGACAGGTGGGCACTCGAGGTGGGCAGAGGGGTGGCAGGTGCGAGGTGTTGTGGCCTAAGTGCTTGGGTCCCCAGGGTCAGACGGGGGAGCAGGGAAGCAGCCATAGGTCCTCTGAGGGGCACGTGGAGGCCCTGCTCCTCCAGGATTCCAGCAGCCCAGCGGCGGAGGGGAACTGGCCAGGGCCATGCATCCCTTGCCCTCTGCCCTCTGCCCTCTGCCACGTGGGGCTGCAGAGACAAGCTGCCCTCTTGGCAGCAGAGAGCCCTCACCAAACCCCAGATCTGCCAGAGCCTTGGCCCTGGACTTCAGCTCCCAGAACTGGGGGAAAGGCATTGCTGTCCTTTATTAATCCCAGGCTTGGCCTTCTGTTGGCAGGAGTGGACATGGGCCCTCTCCATGGGACATGGGGCAGTGCGTCAGGGCCACACGCCGAGGGGCAGGTGTGGCAAGATGGGTCAGAGTGGATGGGGTGATGCAGGAGGAGAGCCCAGGACCTGGGGACGGGATCCAGGAGTGGACACCACACAAGGGGAGGGTGGCAGAACCGTGACTGCATCCTGAGCAGCAGGGCACCAGTGGGTGCCAGGGCTCCGGCCTGGGCCAGGGGGCTCTGGCCTCACCGGGCAGGCTATCGGGTGTCTGTGGCGTGGCTTGTCCTGGGGGAGCGAGAGGGCCTGGGTGAGGTGGCAGCGCCACACCTGGGAGCCAGGAAGCCACAGGGCACAGAGCCAGAGCCACCTGGCCGCTCACGGAAGTGTCCACAGGACGGAGCAGCAAAGGGACGCGGAAGGGCTCAGGCCCAGGAGAGGGCCTCTGAGGTGGGATGTCGTGCAGAGTTGGGAAGAGCTGGGCTGGGGGGCTGGAGGGCGGGCCTGCACCCCCAAACATGCCCAGGACGAAGCCCTCACCCCGTGCCTTAGAACACGACTGAGAATGAGCCAGGTCCTTAAAGAGGTGATCAGGCTGAGACGCGTCACCAGGTGGCCCATCAGGACAGACCCCGAGGACTGCGTGAGGACATGGGGAGGAGACGCCGTGGCACCTGGACCCAGACTCCAGCCCCAGGACAGGGACAGTGGTGGCTGTCTGCTGCTGAAGCCCTCTGGGTCTGCTGTTGTGACTGCCGGGAGCTCACACAGAGTCAGGTCAGTCAGGGAAGAAAGATGAGCTGCCGTAACAAGCAGTCCCGCACCTCAGAGGCCAGCTTCTCCCTGCCGAGTGTTCTCAGGCCAGGACCTGGGGAGGGGGCTCCGCCACAGTCACCCTAGGACCCCAGGCTCCGCCCTCCCTCCAGGGACCTGAGTCGGCTGGTCCTCTGTGTTCAGCTGGCGGGTGTGGAGAGACCCTGGGGAAGGCGGGGGAGGTCCCCAGGCCTGCACAGTCCCCGGGGAGCTTCCCTGTCGAAGGTGTGCTCCCTGGGGGACAGGGAGTCTGCGTGTGTGTGGCCAGCCTTCGTGGCCTCTGCCTCCGTGGCCTTAAGATGTAGGGAGGGATGCTCGGGCCACCACAGGGTGGAGGGGCCTCCAGGAAGGCTCCATGCTGTAGAATCACTTCCCTGGGGCATGTGGGGATGGACGGACCTAGCGTGGCGAGCAGGGCTGGGGGTGGGCACTTCCTGCTGACAGCTGCTCTGCCCCCCAGAAAACAGGCAGGAACCGCCCAGCCCAGTGAGGAGACCCCGAGGAGGGGTGGGGGCCAAGAGAGGCAGGACTCAGTGGACAGGCTGAAAGGTCAGTAGGACGAGCGCAGAGGGTGGCCAGTGGATTTAGGGACAGGTGAGGACCACTTGGCGGACAGTGGGAGAGGCTCTCCAAGGGGCGGTAGCGGAGCAAAGAGGAAACAGTGGTATCGGACGGTGCTCATCCTAGAAGGTGCCCTGGGCGGTGGCATGCGTCAAGGGCCCTGGGGTGAAGGGGAGTCTGGCCTTGCTTTCTCCACAGCTTGGTGCAGTGGGGAGAGAGGCCCAGCCAAGTGACAGGCAGGGAGATTGGCGCCCCTGCACGCAGCACCTGAGCTGTAGCCACAGGACAGGTCCCCAGGACAGGCCCCGGTGGAGGGGTCGCTGCTCCTTGGCTCTGCCCTGAGGCCTCTGCTTGGGGCTGGGTTGGTGGGAACAGAGAGAAGGACCAGGCAGTGGGGCCTGGGCTGCCCCTTGTCTGCCCTGTTCTGGCTCCTCCCTGACCCCAGCAGCCTGGGGTAGTGCCAGACACCCGTACTGGGCACGAAGGGGCCTGGGCAGGAGAGCCGGGAGGGAGTGGGGGGCAGGAGGGCCTCCGAGGACGACCTGGAAGGGGAGAGGTGGAGGTGGGGGTCCCAGGGTGCAGTCTCCCAGGGTGGGCAGGATGCAGCATCCGGGCCAGGAAGGCTTTGAGTCAGAGAAGGGACGTTGGCGATGACAGGAGTGATCAGGAAGCGGGTGACAGGGACGAGGAGAGGAGAGGCCGTGTGGCTGAAGATGGTTGTCCAGAGCCGAGGGCCTTGCTGGTCGCAGCCAGGACACCAAGGGGCTGCCCGGCACAGCCACACCCAGCCCTGCAAGCTGGGGACTCTCCATGGAGACTGTGGATGACGGACACGCGAACCCCCGGCCCCACCCGGGGTCTGGGGACTTGTCTGCTGGAAGGGAAGTTACGGGGTATTGGGGTGTGTGCCAGCCCCTCCCCTGGCATCAGAGACACAGGGAATAGCTCCAGGTCCCCAACTCCAGTGGGAGACAGAACCAAACAGCTGAGGAGCGAGTGGGGAAGATCTGGGAGATGCCGCGAGACCGCAGAGCTGGGGGCCTGGGTGGGAGGGGACCCGGTGGAGGCAGGCGGGGCGGCCCCAGGAGGGGCCAAGCAGGCGAGGGCAGTGGGCCCTGGGGGTCCAGGTCTGTCCTGTGAGCCAGGCCTCGGTTCTCCACTTGAGGCTGTGCCGTCTGTGTGGAGCGGGCGCTCTAAAGCCCCAGGGACGGCGGAAAGCGGAGGCATGAAGAGGGCTTCAAGGAGGTGGGTGAGACCCTGGGAGGAGAGCCACTGCTCCCCACGCCGGCCAGGGCCCAGGGGAGCTGTTGACTGGGGACCAGACAACACAGAGGAGGCAGGTCACTGGAGTGAGGCTGGGCTGGAGAAGGAGGGAGAGCCTGGTCTGGGTCCTGGCATCCAGTGGCTGAGGTGCCACTGCAGGTGGGCGTCTGGGGGGTGCTCAGCCTGAAGGAAGGACCCACTGCTGGCTCCCTCTTGACCAGCAGACCTTGCTGCCGTTGATCCTACCTGTGCCCCAAAGGACCCTGTTGCCCTCGCTCTGTCCAGTGTGTGGCCTCTGCTCCTGCTGTCCCGGGAGGTGGCGACCCCTCCGGATGACCAAGAGGTCCACTGAGCAGTTTGGCCTCCTCTGAACACACGGGAGCTCCCCAGAGTGGGGCAGAGGCCTGGGTCCTCCAGAGCAGCGTGGCATACCCTCACCTGGGCCCCAGTTCCCTGGTCGGTGGCACCTTCCTGTCACATCTTGGCCTCTGAAGTCCCATCCACTGACTCCTGTTGGCTTTTGCTTTATTTTTTTCTGTTGTTGCTTAAGAATTCTATAGCCTAAGATTTGGAGAAGTTTGACTTAGTAATAATCTCAAGTTTACAGAAAAGTTTCCGGAATGAGAATGGTACCAAGGAGCCGTGTGCCAGCACCCACACCCGCCCCATGTCCCCTCTGTGGTCCTCTCTGCCTCTGCCGCTCTCTGTGCCTGACCGCTCCTAACCTCCTTGAAGATTTACAGTCTGAGTGCGAAGACCCCCGCACTCAGCAACACCAGCAGGGGAACACTGAAGCGCCACTTTACCTCACCCCGGCTCTGTCCCGTGACCCGTGACCCGTGACCCTCTGCTTTATTTTATTTTGTTGGGACCATTTACGGATTTCCTGGTGCAAAAGAACTCAGACTCTTCTGTGCATCTCCTACCCAGCCCCTGCGACAGCTGTGTCTCCAGGGAGCCTGTGCCTTTGGCAGGGGACGGTCTTGGAGACCCGCCCTTGTGCCCCTGCGTGTCCAGCAGGAGAAACCTGAGTGTGCAGACCCACATGTGTCCACACACGCACTCCTGATGGCCTTGCTCACTAAGCCCTCTTTCCCTTGGTCTCCGGGAGTCACGATGTGGAAAGCATGGTTTTATGTGCCTTGTCCACTTCCCTCGGCATGTGGCCAGGCACAGGTCAGCTGTGACATCTGTGGCCTGCCCTCCCCCCTGACCTCCAGGCTCCAGCACCCCACCCCAGTAGGTGTGCCCCTTCCCCTCACCTCCCTGCATCCTCCTGCCCTCGCCCAGCACATCTGCCAGGTCGTGCCCCTTGTCTCCAGGACACCTGGTCTGCGCCCCCGGCCACCCCCGCAGGCCCCGAGCCCACAGGCCCATGCTGCTCCTGCCTCCTCTGGAACCCTGGAGAATGGCACCTACCTGGCTCCACGTCTCCCACAGCCACCAGGTTCTGGGGACCCAACTGCTCCAGTGTCTCCATCCACCTGGTTCCTGGGGTGACAGCGCAGGTTTGGATGCCATTCCCCCTCCCGTCCTCCTCCTCTCTGTCTGAGATCTTTCTAGAATGCAAACCTGGCAAGGACCCCCACAGGCCATGTGCTGGCTAGGAGCTTCGCGGGAATTGCCCTGTTTGGCCCCTGCTCTCTGGGGACATATTCTCTTCCTGTTGGGACACCCAGAATCACCGCGTGGGCCTCAGGGCGCACCTGGCATGGGGGTGTGGGCTCAGAGCAGGGCCCATTTTGACATCTGCTGGTCTGGTCTGGCCCCACAGGTCTCAGTGGCTTCACTTATTCATTCATGGGAAGGTTTATCAGGCGTCCATATATCCACCCTCCAGCCCAACTCCATGGGCTCGGGGGCGTCTGCCCCGTTCTGCTCCCTGCTTTCCCTGCCTACCCCGATCATGGCTGCCGAAAGTCTTCCTTTGCCTTAAAATGAAAAGAAATTTCCCTCAGAGTCTGTCTGCCTAAACCAGAGGGGCGAGTCCTGCCTGTTGGGAGCGGGGTCCCAGCGTCCCGCCTCCTTCTTCTTCACCAATCTCCGAGGCCCCTCTGCTCTTTCCCTGGTGGGACGGCCTCCATGGCTCTGTGACATCTGTGGCCAAGCTCTGCTGCAGTCTGCTCCTGGTAGCCACCACTGTGCCCCTCCTGTGCCCTGTGGGTGATGACCACTGGGACGAGGCCAAGGCCAGCTGTACCTGAGCCCAGAACACCTGGGTTCCTCAGGCTCAGCCTCCCTCCCTGATTGTCTCTGGGGACTGCTCCGACACCTCACCATGCAGGGTACCCAAACCCAGGCTGGCCTGGGCCCCACTCACAGGACCTGAGGTGCCTGAGCTCTGGACCTGCCCCGGTCACAGTGCCAATGCCTGTCCCTGCAGCTGCACCCACTAGCCCTCAGTCTCCTGCCTTGAACAAGAGCTTTCCCCAGAGGCCTGTCTTTCCCCTACAGGAGCTGGAGGGGTGGCCGAGGCACTAGGCAGAAGGCCCAGGGCTGGGGGCAGGTGATGAGGTTGGGGCTCCAGCTGCAGGATCCCCAAGCTGGGAAGGCCTCGGGGGTCCTGGACAGGCGTACAGTGGGCGCCCCAGGGCTGGGCAGGCCTGAGGGAGCTATTCACAGCGAAGCTGTCTTGGGCATCAGGCTGACCCAGCCCAGGACCTCTGGAGGGCTAGGGCAGGCGCTTGGCTGGCGGCCTCCCTGGGCTCCCACTAGAGATCTGTGCAGGGGGACTTTGGGGCCCATGGCACAGGAAGACTGACACCCAGCCTTGCTGTACCAACTCTTGTTAGGGACTATTGGGGACGTTGTTCTGCTGCAGCCAGGGTCTGGGCTGAACAGAAAACAGGGGCAAGTGCCCTCTGGGCCCAGGGGTGGCCAGGTGGGTCCTGCTGTCAGTCCTAGCACAAGATCAAGGACCCAGCCCTTGCCTGGTGGGCATGAAGCACTGTGGGAGGGCCTGTGTGCCTCTGTGGGAGAGGCTGGGAGGGCCTGGCCCACAGCTCAACTTTGTAGCCAAGCACCTAAGCCAAGGTCCTACGTCCTCCAGTGTAGCCCTGCGCAGAGATGGTGAGGACTCAGGCCCCACTGCCCAGTCAGGGGGCAGGCACAGCATACAGGGAGGTGCCGGGCATGAACACCACCCCAGAGTGATGCTGGAGGAAACACAGGGACAGCAGACAGGGACCCAAAGTGGCTCCCGGCTTCTGGCCTTCAATGGGAGGGCAGCCTGGGGAGGGGCCTGCCTGCCATGGCCCTGCCTGGCCCTGCGTCCCTCGGAGTCGGTTTCTCTGAATCCCACCAGGGTCTCTGGATGGCAGTGCCAAGGAGCAGTGAGCTCACCTTGGGAACTCCCACTCAGACGTGGCCGGGCCCCAGGGCTCCGTGATGGTGGGTGTGTCCAGAGTGGCCTGGGGAATCCTGGGGCTGGCGCCAACCACGCCCAGCAGCCAGGGGTAGATTCCACATGGGGCTCTCCTGGCTCCCCCTTTTCCCCAAGCCCAAATCCGCTGCACCCTGAGCGCCCTGCCAGCGGGTGCTACGGCCCAGAGCAGGTGGGGAAGAACCAGACCAGACCAGGCATGGGTTTCCATCCTTTATTGACCACGGGCACGAGGCCAAGGCCAGCTGCCCCCGGGGCTGGGCTGGGCGTCGGGCGCCTCCCCAGCTGGGCACTGGGGTGGTGGTGGGGGGGGGGCGGCAGGTGGCCTAGGATTCCGACTCGAACATCTTCTTCCGGCCCTCCATGCCAGACTTCTCCTCGATGTTCTTCCTCCAGTCACCCACATCGCGCAGGTCCCGCTCCTGGGGGGGACGGAGAGGCCTCAGGCCCCCACCCACCAGCCCCGCGTCGCCCCGCCTCGGTGTCCCCTCCGTCAGGGGCAGGGCCTCCCGGGCTCACCTTCTCCGTGTCCTCCTTCTTGACCTGCTTCAGGTTCGCCCTCAGGTCCATGCACACCTTGTGCTTGGAGCCCAGCAGCGCCTTGAGCATGGCGTCCGCGGACATGCGCACCCTGCGCAGCGGGGGCCTCTTGAACTTGCCCCTCAGGTCGAACAGCTTCTGGTTCATGTCCTCCAGCTGCAGGGAGGGAGGCCGGTGGGTAGGCGCCCCCTGCCCCGCGCCCCGCGCCCCGCAGCCCGCAGGCCCCTCACCTCCTTGCTGCTCTTCTGCACCTTCACCTCCATGTCGTACTTCTCCTCCTCAGCCGCGTCGATCTTGGCGTGCAGCTGCTTGCACAGCTCCTGGGGTGGGGGCGGGCAGCAAGTGGGCGCCCTCCCCACACCTGGGGCCCACGGCCGCCCTCCCCACCCCCGCACGCCCTCTCAGGGAGTGAGAAGCCCAGTACCTGCACTTCGGCCATGGAGCCCGGGATGTGCAGAGGCGGGCAGTGCTCGGAGAGGTAGTTGTGCTTCTCCGTCTCCCGGCGGGCCTTCTCCTTCTCCTGCTCCGTGGCCGCGATCTGGAGCATCACGCTCTGCAGGGTGGGGCGGGGGCAGGCAGTGAGGGGCTGCAGAGACTGCACACCCTGGCGGCCCCCCTGTAGCCAGTACCGACCTTCAGGTGCTGTCTCCGGGCCGTGATGGCCCTGTTGCGCTTCTGCAGAGCGGGTCCAAGCGGGCAGAGTCAGGCCATGGCTGGAGTCCCCCCACCCCAGGAGTGGCCCAGGCAGGGCTCCTGCAGATGGTGCTGAGCCTGGTGCTTCTGAGGGGGTGGCCGTGTCCCCCAGGGCTTGCCCTGCCCCAGGGTCTCTGCCCCAGGGCCCATTCCCTCCCACCTGGGGCCTGCTCCCATAGCCAGGCCCTGTCCCCCCACGCAGCCCAGGGCCTTCCCGAGGACTCTGGGCCTGTGGCTGTAACACTGCTGGGAGGAACGTGCGGCCTGGGGGCGGGGTACAGAAGCGCGGGAGGCTGGGAAGGTGTGTGGGGTGCAGAAATTAGAAAGAAGAAGTGATTCTGGGTGTCCAGGCCCAGCCCACTTCCCCTGCCCCTAGGGCGGCAGGCCGCCACTTCCTCTCTTTCTTCAGTGCCTCCGTGGGCGGGGCCCTTTCCGTGGGGAGGGTCTTCCTTGGGCCTCAGGGCCTTCAGGCTCTACCCTCTGACCATTCTGAGGGGGAGGGTCGTTCCCTCCAGGTTTCAGCCCCCCAGGGGGTACTCACCTCCTCACTGTCCCAGGAGAAAGGAAGGGGGGAGGGGGAGAAAAGAGAGAGGTTAGGGCCCTGCTGGCAGAGTGTGGGCATGAGAGGGGCCAGGGTGGTCAGGGGCTGCTGCTGGGGACATGTGAGGGCCGGGTGGGGGGCAGCAGGGGCCCTGCCCCGGTGCCACTTACTCCCCCATCCTGAGGTCTTGAGCTCGGAGCCTGTGGGGAGAGACAGGGCAGAGGCGTCAGGCCCGTGCCACCCGAGGCTGGCCAGGCAGGTGGTGAGGGCAGCGGCCTCCCGCTCACTGGCCCCTTCTGCCTGCCAGCCCCAATCCGGCCTCCTCAGAGGGCAAGGCCCTGGAGTAGCTCCCCAGGGTGAGAAGCCAGGCAGACAGGGCTCCCAGATGTCCAGGCAGGGCCTGAGGAGAGCTGCAGCTGTCCCGAGGGAGTGGTGGGACGGGCCAGCACAGGTGGCTGCCCACGTGGTGCTGTTATTTTTAACTCTGCTTCCTTTGGCTTTGAACCCAAGTGCATGCAGGAGTCGCCCCAGTGCGGCTGGGGTCTCAGGTCCTGGGCTCTTGACCTGTAAGCTAATGCCAGTGTCCCCAGTTGAGGTCCGGTCATCAGGGGCCTCTCCAAGACCCCTGCCCCATCCTGGCTACCTCCCCAAACGGTTGCTTCTCACTGCCTGCTTCGCGGAACTCCCCAGGGAGGGCTGCTGACAGCTGCCCCCACCACCACCCCAGGCCCAGACCCTGCCCCAGAAGTCCTCCTGCAAACTTGAGTAGCGCCTTGTCCTCTGGCCTCAGTGGGCAAGGCTGGGCCTCACCTAGAGTCGGGGCAGCAGGGCTGGGAGCGAGGTCAGGCCGGCAGTGGAGAGTAGGCTGGTGGGCCCCGGGGGAGGGGTATAAATGGCCTCCCCCAGGCTGGGCCCCTGCTCAGAAAGGGCATGGAGACTTCCTTAGACCAATGGGGGCACAGAGAGCAGAGAGGCCTCCCCACCTGCCCAGGCCGCCTGGCCCGGCCCAGCCCAGGCACTTGCTGCTGGCCTCGTGCTGCCATCCTGTCCAAGAAGTCTTGGGGAGGGTGCGGTTGGGCTGCTCTATTTAGGGCTCGGTGACGAGTTCGAGATACCTCCCTTGTTCTTACAAGGAGCAAGGAGCCTGAGGACAGCGTGGGTGTCTGTGAGTGTGGCTCTTGGAGAAGCCCGCAGCTCCCCCATCAGGGGAGCCTCCTCTACAGCGAGCTTGGCCCACAGCACCCGTCTGCCTGGGTCCACATCGGACCCCCTCCTGGACTCCCCAAGCTCTGCTTCCACAGGACTGCCTCGCTGCCTGCTGAGTGGCCCCCCACTCGGATCCTACCGCCAGCTGACTGTTCCCCACTTCAGCCCAGGGCCGGCTCTTCAGGCAGACCTGGCCACGTGCCTCCCTTCTGGGGGAGACCGGGCCCCCAACCTCAGCCCCTGGGCCCTGAACAGGGACCAGGGCTGGGGTGCTACTCTTCCCTCGGCCTGAACCTTCCTCCTGCATGGTTGCTGGAGAAGGGTGGGGCCGGGCTGAGCCGCTGAGCCGCCCGGCCTGCCACCGCGCCCTGCCTGCCTGCTGGCGCCTCTGAGAGACAACTCAGAACACGTCCTCCACCCAGGACAGCACAGCGACGCCCTGGGAACCTTTCTCTGACCTGTGGGGGCTCGGGGCCCCTCAGCCGCCTGGGCAGGCCCGCATTGCCCTTCTCACCCGGCCAGGCCTCTCCCCACCCGCCCCTGGGGCCCAACCCTGCAAAGGCCCCTCTCTGAGTGGTGGGGCGCTTGGCCCAGCCCCGAAGGCTCCCCAGCCCACGGGGATCAGAGAGACATGAGATGCAGGAGGCTTGGAGCGCTGAAGCCCTCCAGATGTGCGGGGATTAGGAGGTGCATCCTGGGCCAGGGCTGCTCCCCCAAGGCCCCCGAGCAGCTTCCAAAGGTGTCTACTGCCCCCTGCTGCCCGCACAGGGGAGGCCGTAACTGCTTGTCCCTGAAGGTGCCCCATCCCCTCACTCCACTGTCCCCGTCAACACTGTCCCCAGTTTCTACACCGAGTCCCCGCAGGACAGCTCCAGCCCCCACCAGCTATTGCCAGCCCTCCAGATGTGAGGTCCCCACCGCATCCTGCTTGGACCCGAGCCTCTCGCAGGACCCTTCCCCTGCCCAGGGATCAGGGCCTCGGGAATCCGGAAAGGAGAGCCTGCTCCACCCTCGGGAGGGTCCACGGCTGAGGACAGAGTCCCCCGCTGCATCCCTGTCCCCCCAGGGCCCCCGAGAACACATGTGGTGGAAAGAAGGTGTTTATTACAGGGGGTTCCTGGGAGTGGGCTGGAGACTGAAGCTCAGGGTGCTGTCAGGAGCCGGAGAGTGGTAGGTGCAGTCGGGGCCGCAGGGCCAGGATGCTGTCCACCTCCCTGGCAGGCCTCAAACGGTGCCACTGAGCAATGGGCCGCCGGGCATGGGCCAGCATATCTGCCCAGTGCTGCAGAGGCTGGCCGGAGGCCCGGGAGCCGAGCAGCACCTTGCCCACAGGCTCAGCTCGGAAACGCAGACCGTGAGCCCAGACAGCCAGCACCAGGTCCACGCTCTGCTCAGACGGGCAGCACGGGGAGAGGAAGGCCTGGTCAGTCAGCCCTGCGCGAGGCCTTCCCACCCTGCCTCGGCCTCCCCACAGCCCACCTGGATCTGGCTGAAGGGCACCAGGAAGGTGAAGGCCTCGTTGAAGTAGGGGCTGGCCGCGCCCCTCCTGGCAGAGGTCTTTCTCCTCTTCCACTTCCTCTGGTTCACCATGAGCTGGACCTTCACGTAGGGCTCTGGGAAGACGAGAAGGGGCCCAGGACTGGGTCGAGCACAAGGCCCCTAGTCCTCTCCCGAGTGGGCAAGTATGGCCCTCACCTGCCAGTCCTGGACTCAGGCCTCGGGCCTCCAGCACAACCACTGTCAGGCGGCCTGAGCCGGGGACGTACCGCAGCGAGAAGCACAGCTCCCCGTTCTGCTCGGGCTGTGGGCACCAAGAAGGCTTCCGCTGGGGGATCGGCCTGGCCTGGGGGAGTCTGCCTGCACTGCTGCCACCCTCGGCCTCACCTCCTGGGGACCCGGCGGGCCCAGCTGGTACCAGCGTTCCAGCACATGCTGCGGGTCCACAGCTCCCAGTGGCAAGTGGAGCTCCCCCAGGGGCCGGTGCTCCGAGAAGGGCTGGAAGTCCAGCAGCCACACGTGCAGGGTGGTCCGAGGCAGCTCTGCCTGCGGGACCTGCAGAGGGCTGTGAGTCAAGCCTGCCACCCCGGCCCAGGCCCACCGCCTGCCGCCCAGACTCACGTGGAAGCAGCAGGTTTCCTCAAACACGGGGCAGAGCGTACCGCGGTGCACCTTCGTCTCGTGCCCGTGCCTGGGCTGAGTGGAGACGCTGACGCGGGCATAGGGGTCTGCTGTGCCCCCCGCCCTCAGGTCGGCTGCCTGCTTCAGGCCCACCTTCACCTGGGAGGCAGCAGTGTGGGCTCAGCCGAGGCTCTCCCCAGCACCCCACTGCTCCCGTCACAGCCTCCTGAACCACAGGGCCTCGGGGCCTGCCCAGGGCCTCACCTCCTCACTCCCCAGGTCATACTCCAGGGAGAGCTGCAGGCGACCCCACTGTCGAGGGTCCTCCGGGTTGCCTTGCAGTCTGTCCACATCTGGCTGCACCTGGGTGGGTAGGGACAAGGGACCCTGGTGTGATGGGGATCATGCCCCCATCAGAGAACTGCACTCCCAAAATGTGGCTCCTCCCTGATGTGGGTCAAGCCTCCCACCTCCAGACCAGGCTGCCAGATGGGCTCACCTCCCGAGCTCAGCTCCGCCCCCACAAGGTTCCTGGAGAACCTGCTGTGGTCCCCTGTGGCCCCTGGGCCAGCCTCTGCCCCTGCTTTGCAACGCCCCCCTCACCTTTTTCACCCACTTGCCTTGCCGGGAAGGCCCTCTCTGCCCTGCTTCTGCGTGGGTCAGACTGTCCCTGGGGGCTTACCCCTAACTCCCTGTGCTTCCCTGAGCTCCCAGGAATTTGGCATGGCCCTCTCTGGGCTGAGCCAGCATGGAGGTGGGCACCAGGAGGCACAGGTGCCTGCTCCTACCAGGTGGGTGGTGGTGCTGCTGCGGGCACTGCCCAGGCCCACGGCCTCCTTGTCTCGGGGCTGTTTCTTGTGGCGGCGACGGCAGCAACAGAAGGCACACAGCAGACAGGACACAGTGAGGGCACTGGCAGCCAGGGCCACAAGGATGAGTGCCCAGCGGGGCCCTAGGGGCAGGGACTGAGATGCCTCTGTGGACAACCTTGGACCAGCACAGCCAGGCCATCCCCTGCCCTGCCCGGGGTTTCACCACTCACAGGGGATCCCAGCGATGAGGTCCGGAATGAGCCCTGGCGTAGCTGTGGTGCCAGCTGGGGCCAGGGGGCTGGAGGGACCAGGTGGGTGCCCCATCCTCCTGCCCTGCGAGATGGTCACGGCGGCCAGGTCACCTGGGAGAAGTGGCCACTCGGCTCCGGCCTGTCTCCCCATTTGCCAGGCAGTAGCAGAACAGGGGCTGCCTGGTCAAGGAGGAGGCTGGGGTGGCCAGGGGCAGGATTCTGGGTGCAGCAAGCCAAAGGGAGAGGAGCGCTGGGCCTTGGCCAAAGCCTGAGCAGGCCGCCTCAGGCCTGGCCTCACGGCCCCCTCCCCAGCCCCAGCCAACAGGCCCGGCCCCGGGCAGCCCCTGCCCTGCCCATGCTGGCCTTGGCCCACGAGATGCCTCTCCCCCATTGCAGGAAGTCCCCCCTTCCAAGAAGCCCCCTCCCTGCCCCTTTCCGGGTTCTGAGCTCTTCCTGGGGTCTCATTTCATGGGGTGGGAGTTTCACCCCCCTCCTCAGCTGGGGTCCACTAGGGTCTGCTTGTTCACGGGTGGACCTGATCACTATGGCCCCAGGACCAGGGGCAGCTCGGGACCGTGGACCTAGAGCTCTGTGGGGGTCATGGGAGTGAGCTGGGGGTCCGGGGAGCAGGGCTGCACTGGCAGGGGCTCGTTGGAGAAGGCCTGGGCTTAAGGTGCATTTGTTAGACGGGCGCCAGGCCAGCAGTGCCTGGGGATGAGGGGAGGTGGGGGCAGGCAGGGGCAGGGTGTAGCTGGGAGCGCCAGAACATTCCTCCACTCTGACGCAGCCCTGCCCAGACTCGCCTACCTGCCTGCCCCCACCCCTGGCATGCGGGTGGGATGGAGGGTGGGGCACTGCCGTCCTGGGACTGCACCCCACCTGCCTGGGGCTGGGGAGGAAGCGCACCTGGCCAGGGTGGTCCCGCCCCCACGAATGGAGGACAGGGTCCCCAGCTGGGAGCTGGGGTTCCTCTCTGACCCTGGGGAGAGTCCTCTCTAGCTCAGCTCTCCCCCATCCCAGGGGCAGCAGCCAGCCAGAGTCTGGATTCCAGCCCTTGAAGCCTAATTCCAACCCGCGCACAGGAGCCCACAGACTTCAGGGGCCAGCCCAGGCCAGCCCCCCCCAGAACTAACCAGTTGTTGGACCCTTTCACCTCTGAACCTGTCCCTACACACCATGATCCCAGGGGTGACCCCCCCCCCCCCCCCGTAGCATCAGTGTCTCACGGCCAATGGGCTGAGGAGCTCTGGTCCCAGAACACCCCTCCTCAGTGACCAGAGGCTGCACACAGGTTGACCCTGAAAAGTTTTCAGGAGAGTGGACCCAGGCTGGAGCCCACACTGCCTCAGAGCAGGGCCTGGGGCCTGGGGGGAACTGAAGGTGGGGCAGGCTTCCAGGGCTACAACCTGCAGCCCAGACCCCCCCCCCCCTCCATGCTGGGTTAACTGCCTGTCTGTCCTTGCTCCTGAAATTCCTGATTTTTTGAATAAGAGGTTGCACATTTTCATTCCATGTTGGGCCCTGTAAATTCTATATCTGGCCATAATTTGGTTATGGACCCCAGTCCCTAATTTGGTTGGGGCCCCTCCGCCCAGACAGTCTGCCCTGAGACTCCAGGCACTGCTCTCCCTCTTGCCCTGGGAACTCCACAGCCCACATGTGGCTGGCAGAGCACCCCTAGTGGCTGTGGATGGAATGAGGTGGCAGGAGCCTCAGGGGGTCCCACCAGGTCACATGGGGTTCCTGAAGTAGGAGGCAAGGCCAGGTTCAAACAGCCTCCTGCTCCCTGCGTGGAACGCAAAGCCACTTTTCCCTTTGAGAAGCCAGAGAACACATGCTTTCTGTGACTGGAGCCGACTCCTGTGGCCTCCTCTAGCCCCGCTTGGCTGGGGGTCCTACCGCCCTGAATCTAAGCAGGGCTGGGGGCAAAGGGCGGGGATGGGGCCTGAGCTGTGAATTGGTGTTGCCGGTCTGGCAGGATTCCTGGGCCGGCCTTGCAAAGCCAGTCCACAGGGGACCACAGGGGTTGCCTGGAGGCTGAACATGGAGGGTCTTGGGACCCTGGGGACACCAGTTGCTGGGCTGGGAGAATCGCAAACCCTGCAGGGTCCCACAGGACCTCTGGGTCCCCATGGTGGTACAGGTTCCGGCGGGCACACAGCCACCAGGTGGCGCCGTCCACCCCACTGGTCCCCATCACTGGGCAGCCTCCAGCCTCCAGACTGGGCATCCAGGGGAAAGCACCCAGCGCAGGCCAGACAGGCCAGAGAGGCCCACAGCCTGAGAGCCCCACCCGAGCCCGGGACTGAGCCATTCTTGCTGGGACAGCCTGGGACAGCGTCCCCCCGGGAAGGGAAGGCAGGCCTCTCGTCCTGCTGCCTAAAATTAGTGGTCTGTCTTCTGTGGCCCTAAGAGGAAAAGCCTCTTTAGGGGTCAGGGCAGTTTTACCAGGAAAGGGAAACAGGTGTCCTTCCCCAATTGAGGTCCCCACCCCCGGCCCCCTCCCTGTCACCATGTGCACCCAGCTCTGGCTGCCCATCTGGGAGGGCTCCAGCTCATTCCCGAGGCTGCGAGACCAGCCCCACAGTCTCCGCCCCATCCCACCCGTGAGCCCTTCAAGGACTGCATGAGCCCCACCTCCTCCAAGGAGCCCTCCAGGCTGCCGGCTTTGGCTGGATCCCTCACTGGGATCAGTGCAGTGGCTGGGTGCCTCCTGCCCACTCTGCCAGCCCAGGCCCGGCACTTACTGCTGACCACTGTCCTCCACCACCAGTCAACTGAGACGTTGGACGCCCTCTGTGTGCAAGATCTCCCCACGGTCTGCTGGCGGACCCCAAGTGTGCGGCCTCTCACCTGATGCCCAACACTTCCTTGGCTAGCCGGCCTCAGGCCTTCCTCTCAGACCCTGGACACCAAGAGGCCAGGCCCACTTGCAGCCTGTGGCCGGAGCCCAGTGCTCCCTCTGCCTCTAGTGATCAGGAAAGCTCAGTGGGGAGGAAAGGGTGTGGGAGGCAGGGCTTCGGGGAGCCCCACCTCGTGGCCGGAACTGCTGGCCCTCAGGAGCCAGAAAACTATCCGGGGAGGAAGGCTCCCCCAAAGCCTGGGCTGGGTGTCTGGGCCCCAGCCTATTTCCAGGGGACCCTCAGGGCTGGAGGTGTCCTGAGCCCCACAGGCTTTTCGAGCGGAGTGATGGGCCCAGCCGGCTGACCTGGGGGGGGGGGCAGACTTGTGCAGGCTTGGCCCTCCGAGGGGCTGCTGAGTCATGGGGCAGCCTTCCGGCACTGCTGGCTGCACCCCACCAAGCGTGAGGAGGGTGGGAGCGGGGCAGGGGTCTGCAGGCCCTCGGGCTGGGGCCGCCCTGAGCCATGCTGGGTGGAGCTCTCCCAGGGGTCCGTGTGCCTGCTTGGTCCTGCTGCCACCCAGCTTCCGGGACCAGGGAGCTTTGTGGAGGCCATCCTGTCTGTGCTTTGCCCCGGTCCCTTGAGCTCTTGGTTTCCCAACGAGCAGCCCTCATCTGGATGGCCGGGGGGAGCCAGTGGACCGCAGCCCTCCCTGCAGTCTGTCCTCGATGGTGCCGCTTCAGTGGGGCCTGCACATCCGAGCTCCCCCACTGTGCTCTGGCCAGCTAATCTGGTCCAGTCCCTCCAGGTCCCAGGCCAGGGTGATTCACCAGCCCCTTATCTGCTGCTGGCAGTGAGCCGTGGGCTGGTTAATGCTTAACACAGAACCTGCTGCACCGGCAGGGCCCGGGACCAGGGCGTTTGGGCTGCGGGGGCCGGGAGTTGTGCCTGTGTGGCTGTGACACTGGGTCCTGCCACGTGGGCGTCCCCATCCTCCACGCTGACCTAGCTGGGGTGAGGGGGTGAGGGGGGCTTGGAAGCAGCTAACCCAGGAGGCGCCCATCTCAGGGCAGGCCACAGGGCACCTCAGCAAGCAGGCGCCTGTGCTTTAGGGGACACGAGGGGCCCAGAGCACAGCAGACTAGAGCCCCCTGAGCCGCTCCCCAGGCTGGCTGTGTAGGGCTTTGTGCCTCCCCAGGATGAGGGCGCCTCCGTGGCGAGACGGCGTCTGAGGTTCCTGGGCAGGAAGGAGAAAACCAAACAGAGCTGGCAGCCTGCGACCACCCCGCGGCCAGCCCCTCGGCCCCCGAGACGGCGGCTTGGCAGCCAGCAGCCCCGTGGAGACCCTGGCGGGGCTCCTGGACGGGGGCTCTTCCTTTGAGGGCGCCTGGGGAATGTTTGAGGTTGGAACACAAGGCAGACACTGGCCGGGGAGCCGGGAGCTGCTGGCACAGATGTGTGGGACGTGCTAGCTCAGCACGCGTGCTCTCCGCCTGTGCTGACCTGCTGTGCACCCCGACTGCCCGGGTGCCCCTTCTCCTGGAGCCCAGGATGGCCTGGGCGTGCTCAGCGGGCCCTGTCCTCTGCACCCTGAGACCACTGTGGGTGCCCCAGTCACCTCTGACTCAGATTGTCCCTGCTCTGCTCACCTGGGAGGCTGTACCCCAACATTCCAACATCCCAGGTAAACTGAACCCCATCTTCCAGGCACCAGGGAAGAATTTGCCCATCACCCGAGCACCCAGGGAGGTTACCCTATTATCCGACCACATAGGAACTGTACCCCATCTTTGGGAGAGGCTGCACCCCATGGTCGGAGCATCGGTACCTGCTCCCCACTCTGACTGTGACACTGTGTTCTGGTCCTTTGGGCGTGGTGCCCGTGTTCTGAGAACCTGGGCTCTTAGGACGTGCATACCACTCCTTGGGGTGTCCAGGTGAACCCCATTTCCCTGAAGGTCTGGTGGCACCTACCCATCATCTGCTGGCTGGAACCCACTCACCAGCTGGATGGGGGTCTCTACCTCCCTTACTTGCTCCACCTCCTGGGGGTCTGGGGGCGCTGAGGTCCCAGAGCCCCCTTCTGGAGATTTGTGTGAGCCCCCCCACTTTGTCCCAGGCTCCCTGTTCACCCGGGGACCCCGAGAGTCCATGTCTCTGACCCCACTTGTGAATACCTGGGGCACGTGTCCTGGTCACCTGAGTGCCCTCACAGCCTGGGTGAGCTGGCCCCGTCAGCTGGGGAACAGGACTCTATTCTATGGTCGCCAGGGCCCTGGACAGCCTGTACCGGCTTGTTGAGCCCACTGAATCCCCCATTGACACAGCTCGCGGGCCCAGGGCCCAGGGGCCGGTGCCCTCTTCCTGTGGTTTTGGACGCCTTGTGCCCGTCCCTCGCACGGCTGTATGTGTCCCATTCACCCTTGTCTCTGCTCTCTGTGCACCATTCATTAGAGTGCTGGGCCGCCTGCCCACCCCGAGCCGCCCAGGGGTCTGGACTGTGTACCTGAGCCCACAGGAGCCGAGCACGACCCAGGCTGGTTTCCTGCTCCAGAGAGGCCCAGCGTCTGGTCCCTGCACCCCACTGGCCTCAGTCTCGTCCCCATGCCCCATACCCCGATTATTCTGAGTCCAGTCTCTGTACCCCATTAGCCCAAGTGAGTCTAGTCTCTGTACCCCATTAGCCCGAGTGAGTCTAGTCTCTGTACCCCATTAGCCAGAGTGAGTCTAGTCTCTGCACCCCATTAGCTTGAGTGAGTCTAGTCTCTGCACCCCATTACCCTGAGTGAGTCTCTGTACCCAGTCTGGGCACCTGGGTCCCTGCACCCCGTGAGTCTGAGCGCTGGCTCGTCTTCTGAGCAGGTCTGGGTCGTCCCTGTGCCCTGAGGACCTGCGGACGCTCTTGGGGCGGAGTGGCTTCTACCCGTTCCCTGGGGACGCGCTCCTGCTGCCTCACGCTCCTTGGCAATTCTGCACCTGAACGCTGCTCACCTGGACACCAGACACCTGCACTCATTGTCTGAACACCCGGGGGCCCTGTACCCCAGCATCAGAACGTCTGAGTCCCAGGAGCCCACCCTCGGATATTAGACTGTCCTAGGTGGTCCTTACAGCTGACTGCCTAACCTCCAGTCCCCTCAGCCACCAGGTTTCCTTGTGACCAAGTCCCAAACTCTCAGAGGTCCTGAGTAACCGCATAGACCCACACAGGTGCCCCTGGCCACCGAGGCTACACTAGTCCCACCCTCCCCTGCATAGCTGTCCCCAAGCCTCTGACACTGTGGCCCCTCAGAATGAGTGGATACTTGGCCTCTTGGCCACCTGCAGCCTGGCCCCTCTTCCTGTAGCCCCTGCCCAGGCTCCAGACTCTATCCCTGGCCTCTGTCTGGTAGCCTGTTCCCCACTCCTCCACACACCCAGGTAACAGGGACCTCAAATGTCACGCACAGTCCTTGAAGCCCAGTTTCCACTAAGCCTTAGTGAGCTGGGCGCCATGCTGCCATCCTCATGTCCCCCTCTTCCCTCATTACCCAAGGGTCTGGACAGCGTGCCCCCCCTCATCAGGGGCTCTGGCAGCCCAGCACCCCCCGGCTGTCTCTCAATGTCTTTCACAAGAGCCCGCGTCCCAGGCGAGGACCCAGTACCAGTTCCAAGTCCCATTGCGTCCTTGGATGCTGCTGCCCATTCATCCTGTCCAGGCCTATCAGCCACGTTGTCCAGCACCTCTGTGCCCCGTTCATGCCTGGGGCCAGGCAGACCACCTCCCCCTGAGCATCCAGGGTCCATGGCCTTCCCTGGAGCTCTGCAGCCCCCATCTGAGGAGCATCAGAAGGACATGAACTCCACTGACCCAAGAATCTGGGTGTCTTGCACCCCTATAACTGTGCTACCAAGTGCCTGGGTGACGTGCCTTGTGACTGAATGTCTCCTCATCAACTGGAGTCGGGTACTGTAGCGCGTGCCCCTCCAGTGCCCCTCTCAGGCATCCTGTGACTCAGTGTCAGAGTGCATGGGTCCCCAGTGGTCCAGTCTCTCAGCCCTCATCGAGTCCCCGTGCCCCCAGCCCCTCATCTCAGTGCTCACGTAGACCCACGTCCCAGCCTGGGCTCCTGGCGGCCATGCCAAGTTCCACTGCGTCTTTGGATGCCCCGGACCCATTCAGGGGTGTCTGGGCTCGGGTGAGGCCATTCATCCTGTCTCAGGACTCTGTGCCCTATTCATGCGTGGCCCTGGGCAGTCTGCACCCCGTCCGCCCCCATCTCCAAGACAGTCTGTCCATTGTCACCCCTGTTCCAGGAACAGCCGCCGTGCAGCCAGCAGGCACATTCCGGGGTTTGGCTGGGGGCCAATGCAAACCCTAGGATTGCTGGCGCAAGCGTCGGCCCGGGCAGGCGTGGGATGATGGAGGGGCGGGGAGGGGGAGTGGGACCCTCAGTTCGGGGGCATGCGATGAAAGCCTTCCCTGTCCACAGTGTCCTCCAGCCAAGGGGACGTTGGGGTGCGGGCCCAGCCCCGTGACGGAGGCACGGCCTGGACTGCCTGCCAGCAGGAGTGGCTGTGTGTACTGGGTGGGAGGAATGTTCCGGATCCCTCCACCGCGGCTGCCATTTCCTGATGAGGCTGCCCACCCACTGCTGCCCAGCCAGGAAAGGGGGGCCCCCCCGCTGCCAGACTTGTCAGTATTGGCTGGGGCAGGGGTGCACAATGGAGGTCTCACCTCCGGGGCAGAGACCCCTGCCCTCTCCAACACTGGGAGAAACCCAGGGAGGTGGGTCTCTGCTGCTGCTCTCCTGCCCTCTGTGGTTCTCTAAAAGGTGTCCCTGTCTCCTGACTGCTCCTGGGGTCAGAGGGTGAGGCGGAATAAGCGTGTGACCCCCTTTCTGCCCCAGGGACCCCTGGAGTTGTGTGCATGGGACACCAGACACCGCTGCTGACGGGGTGCCATGGTGAGAGTGGCACCCACTCCCCAGGGCTCTTGGGTGACAGGAGCTTGAGGGGTTCTACAGCCCGTGAGGGCCACCCTCGTCCTGTGGGGGGCTCTGCAGGGAGTCTGGGGGTGGGCTTGTGTTCTCTGTGTTGCCCAGTGGAAGCCAGGCGCTGGGGCCTGCCCAGAAGGACCCGTCTCCGGGTGGTCCCTGTGCTCCAGTTCAGCGCACCCCGCCCCACAGCCCTGCCTGGCCTGCTCTCGGAGGGCCCGGCTCCTAGCACTGGACCTGGTGCAGAGCCCTGCCGGGCTGCTCCCTCAGGACCTCAGCAGGCTCCCTCTGCTGCCGACCCCACCCTCCAGGCTCCCCAGTGGGGACAGGCCAAGGATGGACCAGGAGTCCTTTTCCAAACAGGTTGGGGGTCTTCCAGGGACGGCCAAGGCTTTCCTGAAACTTGACTGATGGGCCTGAAGAACCATGGGCACCGGCTCAGCTGTAGAGACCCCACTGTGTGGGGACCCTGGGCGAGCGTCGTGGTGACATGCTATAGTTAGATCCGTGGCCACCAGGCTCAGGGCTGAAGGAGCCCAGGACCAAGTGGGCCGAGTCATCCTAGCCAGTCTCCCTGCAGTTCAGGGGCAGCTTGGTTGAGGCCACACCTCTCCCTGTCCACCCCTTGCTCAGGCCGGGGGTCGGAGGTAGGGTGGGCCCTCCTCCCTGCCTGGCCAGTGGTGTGCAGGTCCACAAGGCCCCAGAACCGAGTGCGAATGGCTAAGATTTGTCCCTCAGGGGTCTTCAGGGCCTTTCTCAGCCTCCGGGGGTCATCCGAGGGGCAGTCACTGGCCCCGAAATGTCTGCCTGGTCCCAGTAGGTGCACTCTGGGGGAGGTCCGAAGGCAGGCCGGGCGCAGTGCGGGCAGGCCGAGCCAGGCTCCCAGCTCCCCCTGCCGTCCGCTGGCCGCTCCTGGAAGCGGCCTGACCTCCGGCTCCCGCCCGACCCCTGCTCACACCCCCCTCCCGCCCCCGCCCACCGGCCTGGCTCCGCCCTGCCCTCCAGTTCCGCGCCTGGCAGGCCTTTGAGCGCCCCCTTCCGTACACAGGCCTCTAGCTGGGCCCCTCCACCACAGCCACAGCAGGCCCTCCTCCTCCCAGGAGGGCCGTCCAGGGGCCCTGGCGGTGCAGAGTTCCCGGCCAGGGCTCCCTCCCCACAAGGACTGGCTTTCTGGGTAGAAGTCTCAGGCCTGGGGGGTCTGGGCTGGGCAGAATCCTCTGGACGGGTCCCCTCTGGGCAGCCCTCCCCCAGGACCCTCTCCTGCCCACACAAACTCTGGGCAGGGATCCCTGGGACCCCAGGACCCCAGATCATCTTGGGAGGAGCTCTGGCCTCCTGACCTTGGATCTCCCCCAGCCTCCAACCCAGAGGCCTCGGGCCCCAAGATCAGGCAACAGCACCGAAGTCCCCAGCGGCTGGGAGACGAGGAGAGTGGCCCAGGAGCATGAGGCCCTCACACAGCTCCAGACACCCAGGAGCCAGGTGTGCCGGGGTCAGGACAGTGGACGGTCTGGCGGGCGGAGAGGCCACCAGCTCAAGGACAGAGGGAGAAATGAGAACCCGTCCAGCCCTGGCCCTGGGAGAAAGCAGCGTGGGGTCATGGGCGGAAATGGGGACTCCCAGGGGAGCAGGCAGGTGGGGCGTGGGGTGTGGGTCTCGGCAGGCTGGAGAGTGCCAGGCAGACCACGCGCAGAGGGGGCGGGGCTACAGGGCCAGTGAGGGAGTGGAGAGAAGGCAAGGGGTTGGGCCCCCAAGGGAGCCCCTCTGGCTTCCCCCAGTGGACTTGGCGACAGGGTCCCTGCCGCCCACCCACGAGCTCCTCCTGAGAAGGCAGGGGGCTCTCCTCCCCGGGGTGTGGGAGCACAGGCACAGGCACAGGCACAGGCGTGTGACTCGCAGACACGCAGATACGTGTGTGCACAGCACACACAAGCAGGTGCACTCTCTTTCAAGGTGAAACCCCAGAGGCCGTCCCAGCTCCCCAGGGGACCAGAAGAGGGTGTCTCGTCCCGCCCTGCTGCCTGCTTGGGGAAGCCCTCAGTCAGCCGCAGAAGGGGTGAGCCTGACTCCCCGTGGCCACCATGTACCTGGCACTGCCCAGCAGGACAGCTGCACACAGGCACAGGACTGCTGCCCTTGCCCCAGAGCAGGTGCCGGTGGGCGAGGGCGTGAGCGGGTGCCGGCCGGGCAGTGCGGGGCTGGAGCTCGAGGCTCCCATCTCCACCCTCAGCCCTGAACACAGCCTTGGCCTTGGTTCCCTGCTGGGCGTATGGGGTCTGAGGGTGGCCAGCACCTGCTGCAGACCAAATCCAGCCTCATCCCGCAGGATCGGGGACGGGCCCTGCCACCTTCCTCCAGGCACCCTCACCAGCACCACCCGCCGGACAGGACCCACTCTCCGGCACCGCTGTCCTCTGCCTGCCATGGTGTGTCCGGCCACGCGTGGCAGCTCAGGGCTTGCTGCCCACCTCTCCTGGGTTCCAGGGCCTGTGGCCTTGACTTCTGCAGAGCTGGTTCTGGTCAGGATGGAGGAAGGAAGAGTGAGGAGCAGGTGCTGCAGAGACCTCCCAAGGCCCAGGAGCTCCCTGCACCCTCAGCCTGCCTAGCACAGCCCCAACGGCCCCGCGGCCGCCCTCTCCTCACTCACCCACTGCGAACGGGACCCAGTCGGGGACCCGAGGTGCAGGAACCCTTGCCCTGACCCTGACCTCAGGCAGGAGCCCCTGAGAGTCAGAGCAGTCCAGCTGCAGGGCAGGGTCTTTAGGTCTGTGGGTCTGCGTAGGTCAGAAGGGGCAGCTCACTTCTTCATGCTGTGGAGTCACCCCTGGTCATCACACCCGCCACCTGCTTCTTGTCAGCTTGGCTGTGTTGGGAGCACCTTCCATTTCAGGGCGTCCCAGCATGGGGCCTGCAGGCACTTGGTGTGACTGACCGGGGCCGGGACATTCTGCGCTCGAGCTCCCTCTTCTGCGACCTGGCACCCACCTTTAGGGCTGCTGTGGGCTAGAACAGTGCTTCAGAGACAGTATGAGGCGCAGAGCCAGAGCCTCAGCGTGGCCCTGTGGTGCTGTCCACAGGCACGTCCAGGCAGCTGTGCCTCTATACTGTGTCTGTCAGGCCTCTCGGTACACATGGGCCTCATCTGTCAATCAACACCACCTCTCTGCATGTGTTCCATGAATTCATTCACCCAAACTTCCATCCATCCACCCATCCACCCATCCACACATCCACCTATCCATCCTCATCCCCATCCACCCACCACCCACCACCCATCCACTCATTTACCCTTCTGCCCACCCATCTGCCCATCTATCCATCATCCACCCACCTGCCCATCCACCCATCCTTCTGTGAACCTGTCCAGTCATGTGGTATCTGTCTGAAGTCCACCCACCCATACTTCCATCCCGTGTGTCCATCCTCCAACCCATTCATTGACCCATTTCTACACCTGTCCATGTATCCACCACCCATCCACTCACCTTCCCACCCATGCATCCCTCTACCCACTCACCCGTCAGTCCATCCACTTTGGCCTCCTTCCTGTGTCTGACTCCATGTTGCCCTGCTCCAGGGGCTCATCAGAGCCCGTTTCCTGGGCCAGGACGTGGCTGCAAAGCTGGTGATTTTGTTACAAAGTAACTGCAGAGCTGGGCCGTTGTGACAGACCAGAAGGCCTGCAAGACCAAGGACGCTCACCACCCTTCCTTTCCCTCACAGGAAGGACGAGTCTCGGCCAGGGCTTGCCAGCCCTGCGCTGCGGGCCTCCAGTGGCGGGCTTCAAGCAATGCTCACACGCTGCTGTCTCGGTTCCCGCAGGGCAGCACTCGGGCCCTGGGCTGGGCCTTCTCTTCAGGGTCCCGGCCCCGGCCACCAGGACTGGTTCTCATCTGAGGATGGAGCGCAGGAGCTTCTGGGCTCACTGTGCTGTGAGTTGGACGGAGCTCAGCTCCTGGTGGATGTGGGACCCAGGTGCTCCCATGACTACAGCCCTGGGGCATGCGGGGCTGGCTTTCCTGGGCAGTCCAGGCCAGGCGGCTTGCTTCTCCAGGATGGCAGGAGAGAGTGACTGTGGCACCATAAATACTGTGACATTGTCCTGGGTGTGACAACTGCCCCCAAAGCAATATTCCATTAGTCAGGAGCAAGTCACAGGTGCACCCGCTCTCGAGGGGAGGGGACGGGATAAAAGCATGGACAACAGCAAGCAGGGTCACTAAGGTCCCTCGGGGACTGTCTGCCAGCTACGTGATGGTGGTGTGGGTCCTGTGCATTCCTGGTCCCTACCCCCTGGGAGCCAGCAGCATCCCGCGGTGACAATCAAGCTTGTTTCCAGACACTGCGATTTCTCCCAGAGTGCGGGCAAAGCCCCAGCTGCGCACCAGAGCCATGATCCCTCTAGGGGTTGCAAAGAGCAGGCCTCCAAACCCAGCATTTCTTCATCGGTGATTTGCAAGAATTCGACCAAGACACACTTTTGAGGCTGGGGATGTGGCTCAGTGGGAGGGTGCTTGCCTGGCCAGTGTGGAGCCCTGAGTTCCATCCCCAGCACCGGGGGGAAAACAAAAGGTACACTCTCCTATGAGAGATATATAAAATCCACACCACAAATGTGAATTGCCACCACCTAAAGGTCTGAAACAGCCCACTGCTCATGGCCTTGCCGGTGTGTGGCTGGCAGGGCCTCGTGAGGCCGAGATCCAGGCCCAGGGAGGGAGGGTCAGCAGCTCAGCTGCTCTCGGCCCTGCAGGGGGCCAGTGGGACCCATCTCCATGCAGCTCAGGGAGTCTTGGCAGCCCCTTCTTCAAAGTCAGCAGGACAGGGAGGGCCTCCGCTTGTCCACCTCTAAGGTCAGAGAAGCCTGGACTGTCCTCGGGAGGCTTCCCATTGGGTCAGGCCCACAGGAAAACGTCCAATGTGACCACCAGGGTCCTCGATCACGTCTGCAGAACTGCTTTGCTTTTGCCCTAGAGTCTTGCCTAAAAGCCAGGCACGTGAATGCGGGCACTTGGGAGGGCCACACTCAGCTGTGTCACATGGGTCACCCCTCACAGAGGTCACATGGGGTGCGTCTGCCACAATGCACCGCATGCCACTGGGCTCACATCCTCTGGGGACAAGTGGCCGGTCTGTGGCCAGGGGCAGGCTTTGGAGTCACCCGGCGTGTGCTTCTGAAGGCCCCCAGGTCTCTGGAGTTTTGCTCTCAGAGAGGCTGCGGTTCCAGGCCTGCCCATACACACCCTCCGTAGCCTGAGCCGGTCACTTCCCCACGGACCCTGCTTCCCGCATCACTCCTGGTCTGGCCACTGTTTCTAGAACTTTCCAGGAGCTGGGATCCAGGAATACCCACCTTTTTTTTTTTTCACTGTGGGAAAAATCATGTAAAATTCCCCATCTTGAGGGCACCTAGCAAGTCCAGGGGCCCTGGGCACAGTCCCTGCCGGGCAGCCTTCACCACCTCCACCCCCAGCCTGGAGCTCAGTCCCACTGAATCTGCTCCTGCCCACCGCTCCGTGGCTCTGAGGCCCTAGAGACCTCCCAAGAGTGCGGCGCAGGAGACGCACACTTTGTGAAGACAGAAGGCCTCTGGGACCCATGCCGGTTATTTCCGGCTCGACTGCGAGATCCCCAGCTTTTCTTTGACTCCTTGGCTTATATCTGTTGTCATTTGAAAACCCTGCTCCCCAACGGCCCGCAGCACGATTACCCGACACAGGGCTCACGCACAAGCGCTCACACGCACTCACCCCACAGGTCAGGCGTCCTCAGTCCCGGCTTTCAAGTGGCTAGCGCACATCTTTCTGGAAGGGGGACCGGCCAGCTCCAAGTTGGGCGCACTGACTTCCCCCTCTCTTCGCCTCTTCAGCTGGGTCCACTGCGCTGCACACCTCCGTGAAGTATTTCTTGGACTTTGAAGTCAGAATGGCAGACCCCGATGCCCCCCCCCCGCCCTCTCTTGTCCTGTGGGTGGTCATTTCCGTTGACCTGACTTTCCCGCTCACCTTTTACGGCCTGCCTAGGCTCATCAGACCCTCTCAGGTAACAAACCACAGCTTACCAGTCCCCACCCTGCTCTGCCCCATGGTCCAGATCCAGGTCCCAGGAACTGAGGCTGGGACAGTGGCCTGGAGGTCACCTGGCCAAGGTGGCACATCTCACTATTTGGTAGCTCTGCGTCTGACGCTGTTGGTGTGACAGGCGGGGGTCCTTCCTCCATCGATGGCACAGATGTGGGTGTGTCCGTCCATATCCCATCCAGGAGGTGCCCCTGATGCCCACCGTGCCCTTTCTGGAAGATGGGAGGGAAGTGGGTGTCTGGGCCGCTTCCTGGCCTTTCTCCTGGGAGGCAGACTACACAGCCGGGGAGAGGAAGGCCATCAATGTGCTGCCCAGAGCACTAACTGCCCCGGAGGGCTCCACTGCCCACACTTCACAGCCCAGTCAACCTGTGATACATCACCAGTGCCTCTGGACCCCCACCCCAAAATTCCAGCATGGTCATCAGAGAGTGTCGGCCAACGTTCTGGTGGACGGTAACACAAACTGACCCTGGCCAACTCCAGACAGGGAAAAAAATAATTGGAGGCATTTGCTGGAGAGGGGCAGCCGTGAGAGCCCCTGAGGACTCCATGGGGGAGCAGGCTCAAGGCCCCAGACCATCCTGTGTGTCCATCACATCCTTCCCGGCTGGCATGGCCTACGGTGATTGGCAGGTCCACAATGGCCCAGGGGGCTGGGTCTGATGCCCAAAGGGAGAGGAAGTGCTCCAAGAGGCCAGGGGAGGGTCTGGGCAGGCACCTGGGGGTGCAAAGACTCGTCCCTCCAGCCCAGAAGGCCCCACACTGGGAGGACCCTCAGGGCTTACTGAATACGCTGCCGCCTGTCAGATCCCTTGGGCACCCCGTCCCCCTGGACACCAGTTTCCTCTCCACAGTCTCCTTCTTGGGGCTGTGCTGGGGCTCGGGGGGAGGGGGGGGAGCTGCTGGCGGGACAGGATCCTGACTCCCCTGGAGATAGGCATGACCCCTGGGCCCCCTGCAGGCACCCTGGGCCCCCGAGGAGGCAGTCCAGGTGGGTCCCCTACTGGGGAGACAGGGCGACGCTCCTCTGCAGCCCCTGAATGTGTGTTGAGTGGCCACTAGGGGCTGAATGGACCCTCCTCCCCCCAGATGCATATGTTGAAGCCCTAACCCTCAGATTCCCGCATCGGGAGGTGGGTTTCCTAAGGGGTGATCAAGGTGGAATGAGGTACAAGGACACGTGATTGTGTCCTTGTCAGAAGAGGCCATCAGTATAGACAGAGGACCACGTGAGGACACAGGCTCAGGAGGAGCCTGCTGTGACATGGGACCCTGGACTGCAGCCCCCCCGACGGGGACAGGGGCTCCCGCTCTTTAAGCTACCTGCTGTGGTGCTGCCCTGCGACCCGAGGTGTGACGAGAAGCCACCGGGCCTTCAGGCTGGGACATGGGCTTCGTGGCTGTCACTGCTGGACTCCAGTGGGTACTGGCCCCTGCCCATTTCCAGGAGGCTGAACGGTTCTGGTGAGTGATGGACGTGACATCGGTCGCTTGGAGACAGAGGTGGATCCATCTGCTCACTGTCCCTCATCCCAGGCAGGGCCCTGCAAGTGGTCAGAGAGGGTCAACTACACCCTCCAACGCAGGGTAGAGGACTTGAGGACAAGGGCAAAGAGCCGCCCGGGCCCTGTCTCTCAGGGGAGGCCCTGAGGCTGGCAGAAACTTTTCACCCCCCTCCCTCCTCCCTCCCCCTCCTCCCTCCACTCTCTCCTCCACAGGTCTCTGCGGACAGTGTGTCTGACTTGGCCACAGCTATTCCTGAAGGGGTGCCCTCCTGTCCCCACATGGTCTCCTAGTGGCCCTCCCTCGGCGCCTTTCCAAGACGGCTCCTGTGCTGGGCAAGGCCTACACTCCCTGGCGCTGTGGTCTGTGGCAGGCCCAGTCTGCTCCTGGCCCATTCCCGCCTCCCTCCTTGAGTTCCTGGGCTGGGTGGTGCCTTGCGTGTGATCCTTGACCGAGCATCGGGCATGAGCTCACCGCAGTGGGGCAGGCAGGGTTTCTGTGGACAGGAAAGGCAAGTCCGTATCTGGAGTAGGCATCTGTCCTCAAGAGAAGGACTGGCCCTCTGCGATGGGCAGGTCCCGTGTGGCTGCCTGGTGCCAGGCGGCCAGTTGGGTCCCCAAGGAGCAGCACAAAGCTGGGGGCTCAGTGCTGCCCCGGCTGCTGGAAGGCTGAGTTTCTGCGGCAGCAGTGTCCAGCTCAGCCTGGGTGAGTGGCCGCCCATGCTGTGTCCTCGGTGTGCGCTTGTGATGGCTCCATTCATGGGCATAAGGGGCCAGGTCTGGGCAGCTGACCCCAATGCCCAAGTCGTCCTGCCTGCGTCCTCCTTGGGGGCGGACATGTTCCAGGGTCTTCAGGCCTGTGCCCCTTCTCGAACGTCTGTCCACATCTCCCACCCTGGACATCTGGTCTCTGAGCTTCCCATGCTTCTTCCTGGCGGCTCCCCTGGGAACCAGGCTGCCCATTCCTGTCCAGGAAGCCATGTGTGTCTCCCCTGCGGCCACTTCTGGCAACACAGGTGGGCAGCCAGGGGCCACTTTGGCCCCAAAGTGGGAAAGCTAGTCCCCCAGCATCTCTCAAGGCTCTGGGTCAGGTGGCCAGGCAGCTGCCACCCTCTCCCAGCGTGCCTGTCATCATACCTGAGCACAGCACTTTAAAGATCTTGGCAGGGTGCAGTGGCCCACCTGGTCCCAGCACGTGGGAGGCTGAGGCGGGAGAATCACTTGAGCCCACAGCAAGATCCCGATTCAAGAAAGCAGAGCAGCGACAACTCAGGACGTCTCAGAGTGGCGAGGGGCAGTCCGTGAAACCTGCGCCGTACCGAGCGAGCTCGGGCAGCCTGGGGTCGGGCTCTGCGGTTCCCTGCGGAGCCGACACACCTGCTCTCCCAAGAGACGCAGGGACCTATGTTCTCAGACGTCCCCGCAGGTGCTCGCAGAAGTGCCATCCACAGCAGCAGGTGAGGAGCAGGTTGAATGTCCCTCGGCCTGACAGGGAGCTCCCTGTGCTGCATCCGCACTGGGCAAGGAGGGCACTGCTACAGCCTGTGCAGCCCGGTGCCAGCTCCTGACAATGAAGGAAGCCGGTGGACGTCCACGTGGGTGGCGTTTGGGAGCCACAGAGATGGGACTCAGATCAGAGGTGTGTGAGCAGGTGACAGGCATGGGGGCTGGCGGCTGGGTGCACTAGCCACAGAGGACCCGAGGGAACCCGTGGAGGGAAACATGGCGCCTCACAGGTGGGCAGCCAGACACGCACCCAGGGCCAAGAACTGACCGCACCAGACATTTGCAACGCGCTCCATTGCCTTTAATCTTATCTTGATAAAGTTGATTAAATAGATTCCCATAAAGAGTGAGACATGTCACCAGAGGAGCTGGAGACGCTGCTTTGCACACACAGGGTGGAAAGGACCGTGTTAGGGTGGAAAGGCTTCTAGCGCCAGGGAGGAATGCAGGCGAGTGGCTGCACGGGCAGTGGACAGCGTGGCGTGTCCACGTCCCCAGTAAACACACCAAGAGGCGTTCGTCCATGGCTGGGGAAACCCAGTCACCAGGAAGCAGACGTTGTCACTGAAGTGGCAGGAATTGCCAAGCCTGAGATCGGCCTGGTGTGCAGGCCGAGGAGCTGCAGGCCTCCTGGACACACTGGCCCTGGCCGACCTCTACAACCACTTTGGAAAAGTGCCCCCACTGCCACTTGTGTGCCTCAGTTCTTCACGTGGGTGTGCACATCACAAAGCTCAATGCAAATATGCTTTATGTACGCCTCTGCCTGTCTCAAAATAATAAAGAATAAAGGTGCATCGACTTTTTGCATCCTTCATATTCTAAGATACCATCATCCCCAAGGTCACGTGGGTTCATCAGGTCTCCAGCAAGGAGCCCCGGGGTTGGCAGAAGTGGACGGACTGGGGAGGAAACGCTCAGGCCCAGAGCCAGGGTACCCTTGAGACAGGAGCAGCCCAGGAGCGCCCCGTCCAACGTCAGGGCACCGTTGGGCTCGAGGAACCCACCGCCTGCTCCCTGCACCGTGTAAGTGGTGATCGACGAGAACGGCAGGTCCCGAAAGGCCACCTGTGCACCCCTGGACAGCTGACCAGCTGGCATCTCGGCCATCACCTTAGAACATGTGCTGGACCGTGGGATAGGAGAGGAGCACAGGCCAAGGGACGGGCCAGAGTCACGCAGGCAGCAGAGGCCACAGGGCATCTGCACAGCCGAGGCAGGAGAGGATTTCCTGGGTGATGTCCGAGAGAGTGGCCCTCTTGACCCCCCTCCCTCTCAAGTCCCACTCATCAAGGCGTTGTGGGAAGAGTTACAGAAGTCGGGCTCTGACAGACCATCCAAAAAACACAGCGCCCAGGGAAATGGCGAGCTACGAAACAGGCGCCTGGCAGCTTGGAGATGCCTCACCAGTGACCACCCGGGGACAGGCTCCACCTGGTGTGTGTCAGGTGAAGACCAAACCACGCTCCTGACCGCCCTTCAGAGAAGACATTGAACGCCCCATGGCACAGAAGCTACTCCACATCACTAGCCACCAGGGAAATGCCACGCAGCCACAATGAGATATCACTTCACACCCCTACGATGGCCATAATCAAACAGGTGACACCAAGCATTGACGCCCAGCACATGGAGCTGGCAGGGATGGAAAGTGGGGCAGCCGCTGTGGAGGATGGTCTTCATTTCCCCCAAAGGCTGAGCACAGAGGTGCCACACGGCCACCATTCCACTCCCAGGCCTGTGCCCAGGAGAAAGAGAGAGCATGTCCACTCAGACACATCCACACAATGCCCCCAGCAGCGTCACTCATGGCAGATGGAAGTGCCATCTTCCAGGTGTCCATCAGAGGATGCAGGTCTCCTGCTCTGTGGAATGCTATTGGCCACAGAGGGACACAGCCCTGACCCACTCCTAAGCCCTCAGGCCTTGGGAACTCTGCTCAGAGAGAAGCCAGCCCCGAAAGACCTCAATCTCTGACGACTCAGCTTCTGAGAGATGCCCAGGGCAGGCCGCAATGATGGCCACAGAAGGTAGATCAGTGGCTGTGGGTGAGCGGGCTGCTGGTGGGTGACGCCAGGTGGTCCAGGGCCTCTTTGGGGGATTCTGGGATGGCCCACGGCCACAGTCTGGCAACTCTCAACACACCAAGATCCATGGGCCCACGTACCACGTGGAACGTGGATTCCGCCTCAGTGAAGTTTCCAAGAAGCCATGCCAGCTTACCATGGCAGAGGGGCAAGCGGTCAGGGCTCCAGGGACCACGCAGAGGCGCCAGCGAGAGATCCAAGCCTGGCGCTGCTGCACTGATGTGGGCAAACTGCCCGCCCGGCGCTGGGAAGTCCCTGGCATTGGGCAGGAAGTGTGGAAAGATCCTGCCACCAACCCTGGATCCTAGGGCAGCTCCCGAAATGCACATCACCACACACACACACACACACACACACACACCAGCTCCCGAAATGCACATTACCCCCCCCCACACACACACACCAGCTCCCGAAATGCACATTACCCACACACACACACACACACACACACACCAGCTCCCGAAATGCACATCACCACACACACACACACACACACACCCGCTCCCGAAATGCACATCACCACACACACACACACACACACACACGCACCAGCTCCCGAAATGCACATTACCCACACACACACACACACACACACACACACCAGCTCCCGAAATGCACATCACCACACACACACACACACACACACACTAGCTCCCGAAATGCACATCACCACACATACACACACACACACCCACGCACATACCCACTCACATACACCCACACACCCCACAAACACACACGCACACACACACGCCCATACCCACGCACATACCCACTCACATACACCCACACACCCCACAAACACCCCCACACACACACACACACATGCACGCGCGCCCACACACACGCACACGCACACACACACACGCACACGCACACAGCTCCGCCCTGCCGGCCACGCCCCGGGGCCCACCAGGTGATGAGCAGAGCAGGAGTGTGCCACGCCCGCGGCCCAGCAGGGAAACTGACAGGAGGCGCCCACCCAGGCCTCAGGAGGCCGATGGCCTGCTCTCACAGAGCAGCAGTAAGGAGAGAAGCCAGGGAAACCACCCGGCAACGTCGGGTGCCAGCACAGACTCCCGAGCAGGGCCCGGGCACCCGGCAGGCGCTCGCCGCGGCCCAGCCCCAGGAGCCCCGCTGCGCTTGGAAGAGGTCCCTGCTGACTCAGCATTCCTCAGGACTGGGTGGAAATGAGGCGTCTGCCTGCACACCAAGAGTTCACCCCTCACAGCTCACCAAAGGGGCCGAGGATGGACCCTCCAGGGGCAGAGACCAGCCAGGCAGAGCAAGGGCAAGGGACCGCAGGCCCGTTGGTGCGACCTTTTGGGGCAAGTAGACCAACATTTGCTCAGAAACGATGAATGACTAATTTGTAGGGTTAAAAAAAAAAGTTAAAATAAAATGCTTGCTGATAATCCCTCAGATGGGAGGGGGGGGGTCTGCCGCTGCCCCGGACCCCAGTTCCCAAAGAGGAGGGGGGCGTTGTGAAGAAGCTGCCACTGGAGTGGCCTCTCCTTCACACAGTGCATCTGGCTTTTCTGGTGACTCTGTAACTA